TATATATATATATATATATATATATATATATATATATATATATATATATATATATATATATACTTTTTTTTATTACTGTTATAAATTAACATTGTTCATTACGTTCCATCGTCAATTATATTTTCTGTTATTCTTGTTTACAGTCAACTAGAAGATAACAACATGGTGTTAAGTCCGCCATCTAGGTGTATTAAAGTTTAATACATAAATAAATAATGATTTTGATTTCATAGTAGGATTTAATAATATTCCTTATATATAGTTAAAATATCTGTATATGGACCCAATAACAGATATATTCATGTCTATTATCCAATATTTAGCTAATATTGAGTACCTGAGGATAATACATATCAATATCCGACCGCTTTGGACTATATCGAAATGGGTGACGACATTTTTCCGCCATCAATGTCCAATAAATACCAATATATAGATATTACATCGGTACTGATATTGCGCATACCAGCTATATAGTTCAATTCGTGTGGTTAGTACGTAAATTCAAGGGTACAAATAAACCACATAATCTAGTTATTCTCGAATTACACGGTTCCCATCTAACTTTTCCCGTTATCGTGAGATGAAGGAAGTTTTTGAACTAACTGTAATTTAATTAGACGTGGTATTTTCAACCGACTTCAAAAAGGAGGAAATGTCCAATTACACTGCTCTTTCCATATAAGACGAAATCTAAATCGTTAGAAAGACGTAAAAAAATGTTCGAATCTCCCGTACTGACACAGCGGCGCCATCTGTTGGTTTAGTATAGGTGAATCAAAATTTGTTTCACATTGTAATATCTTTTTTTATGCAACTAATTTTTTTATGGCAAAAAATTTAATGGCTCACCTGATGAAAAATGACAACCGTCTGAATCTGAACTTGTTTCAATAGAAATGGAACAATAGAACAGTGAATACCGAATGGGACTCCCATTCAGCATACCTTTAACCTTCAAGAAAAGAGCATATTCCTTTTTAAAAGGCCGGCAGCAAACCTGCAATGCCGTAGGTGTTGTGGGTGACCATGGGTGGCGGTAGTCACTTACCATCAGGTGAGCCGCATGCTCGTTTGCCCCCTGTGTTGTAAAATATATATATATATATATATATATATATATATATACATACTGTGGTATTCGTCAATACCAGAGCGCTAAAACGGAAACCATTCACGAGCCTGACTGATGAGTTATTTATTCATTCAAAGACATCATTACCGAGTCAAAGAAGTAAAATTATTAACATAATTTTTTTACAATAGACAAAATATTTTCATGATAATTTAAACGATCCTTGCCTTAGGCAGATATGATTTTGTACTTGTAAGTCTAAAAATTAATATTCTGATTTCTATTTAAATTTATTTATTTTAACCTTACTTAGTACTGAGTTATTTAACTATGCGGATTTCTAAATGGATAAATACCTATCCATTACAAGTATTATATGTTCTTTTAGAACACTATAAGTCTGGGGGAAGGGATTGTTAGTAATGGGGTCTAATGAACCCATTGCTAGCAATACACTATCAGGTCGACCTCCACGTGGTTCCCTCTGGAAACCATCGTGAACAATTCTTGTTGAATTCGTCACAATTGGCTAAGTGGCTTGCTTCATCCTCATCTATCATCCTTCACTGGTGCCCCGCCAGTATATACCGATAGCGCGGGCGGGGCCACTATTCCATTATCACCCATTAAAAAAAAAAACACTATAAGTCTAGTATTATAATTGCATTTCTTATATGATCATCATTATCAGCCTTCAACCGTCCACGGCTGGGCAAAACCCTCCCATTAGGGGGTATTGCCAGTCGTTGTCACGTTGGCAGGTTGATTGGAAACCGCAGTTTGTCTTTGGAGATGTTTTAAGAGGGATGCTGCTGCCCATTCCTCGCGTTCCTAAGTCGCCTCTTAGGCGATACCCTAATATAACGATACCCACGGGAAAATTAGGGGTGGCCTATTCTACGCCGTGTGACCCCGCCATTTCTTATGTATATCATTCATTTATTATGACCAAATACTTCTGAATGAAATAAATAAAAAAAAAAAACTACAACTAATCAGAGAAAGAAGATAATATGTTAATTGTCACCGCACTATCGTGACAATCACGAATCATGGCGTTCTTGTGTGATGTGTCCAATGCGTTGGAGTAATAATAATACACAGTTACACCAAACACCTGCTTCTCAAGCTGGAAGACTATGTATTACGAGAAAGCAATAAACAATTGGCCATACAAGCTCAAACATTCAAAACCGCACAAATTCAGAAAATTTCGTTTCTTAAATTAGCCCAAATAGGAATCGAATTTTTCCAGAGGGAGACTTTGTACAAAAGTCGATTGTTTGGGTACCTCTGTCCCATTCGTGTTTCAACCGTGAAGCAGTTGTGTTTGCATGGCTGTGTTTCGATTTGAAGGGCGTGAATTTACTGGGTACAGAGGAATAACACCTGAGTCCTCAGGAATGGCAACGCATAGGGGGTATCATGGGCGAAACAGTCTATTATGTCCGTGGTACTGCTCATGTCTATAGGCAACGGTTACCACTTTCCATCAGGTGGGCCGTCAGCTTGTTCGCCATTCTAAGTTGTATAAAAAAAAATCGAATCTAGGTCCCCTTCTACACAAGTCAACTAACCCACACTACGAAGATTTTGATAGTTGTGGGAATATCTATACATTGGCTTACAAACGGTATCGAAGCCTTAATCCTTAGGAGAGATTTTGCCTCACTCTGCGTGTTCTACTGTCTGTACAACGGATTGTACTCAGAGGAATTATTCAATATGATGCCCACGACCACTTTCTATCATCTTACAACTCGCCATTGAGAGGGAATTCATGCCCATTCCTTAGAGCCTGGACGGGCGCGTACAATGCTGTTTCTAAAATGTTTCCTCACACAAATGCTCAAGTTACAGAATTAGAAAAACATCTTGATAGGGTGTCAAGATTTTTTCCAAGGGACTACAGCATGGGGTTCTTCAAAAAAGGGATAAAGAGGTTTCTTTAGGGTCTACAAAGCGTACGTAAGGCTCCTGATAATGCAGGCGTGGGCCGCATGCTTGTGTGCCACTTTAGTGGTATAAAAATACCTATTTATTGATTTTATATATTCTGCTGTCCTTCTTGGAATCACTCTTAAAAATAAAACTCACTGGGGTCCTCACATTCAAAACCCTGTAACTAAATTAAATTCTGCGTCGTATGTTGTATACAAGGTTAAACAAATTAGTTTATTTTAGTTAATTTCATAGTATACTGTCCTATGGGTTATTACTATGGGATAAAGCAGTCGATTTTTTTCACAAAAACGCACAATTAGCGCGATTTATTCTATGGGACGTCGTGAATCATGAAGAAAGATATTTAAAGAAGGAAATATACCGTAAATAAATATAAATACAAATACCGTAACTTCAAAACACTTAACGCAAACATTTTGTATTTACGCAAGAATCTTCGTTTATTAAAAAAAAAGCTATCTCAATACTGTTAACACTAGATACAAATATTTATACTTTTTGATCAAAATCTATGACACACTAAACGATTACTTGAATAACAAATGTGCACGGTGTTAATCGATCATGCACGCTTTTGACGACCGTGCAATTTTAGATATAGTGCATTGAAATAAACACACATAATGTCAACAGAGATTTAAAAGAATAACTGTTGAGTTTCTTGTGTGCTCTTCTCAACAGATAACAACTTTCCGAACCTTGCATTCATAAAAAATGACAATTTAAAATTGCTTGTAAACAAGACAATTTGAATAAATATTGGTTTGAATTTGAATATTTATTACTAGTGATGCAGCCCGGCTTTCCATGGATAGATAGAATTTTTGAAAACAATATAAATCCTTTTTTTACTTCCTGATGATGTAGGTTTTAAGAAATGAAAGAATTTTTAAAATCCGTTGAGTAGTTTTTGGTTTTAACCATTACAAATAATCAAATCTTTTCTCTTTCTAATATTATTAATATAGATATAATTAAAATATGTTCCAAATCCAATAAAAAAAAATCAGTTATGGCAAACCCATTTATTTTGATTTAAAACTAAGCTACTAAATCGATTTTGATGAAATTTCTGTGATACCAATCTGTAAGTATATCCTTTCAGATAAAAAAGAATTTTCCAAATCGGTTTACAACTGACGGAGTTATGAGGTAACAAATATAAAAAAATACAACAAATTTAATACCTCCTTTTTAAAGTCGGTTAAAAAGGTGACAAAACACCGCGGTAGTTAAAATAGACTTGTTGAAGATAAGTTTTATGAATACTTACTTTATTTTATTGTTAACAAAGAAATGAAGACAAGAAATCACAAGACAAATAATGATTATGAGAAAGCCTTTCAAAGACATGACTTGTACATAACACAATAGGACTGAGGACGTACTTATCACCAAAAAGAGGATTTATTCTTGTAGGTACAATCCTCTGAACATTCTTGAAGTGGACATCAGATAAAATTTGTCAACTTTCCGCGTAAAACCGAACGCGACACAAGTTTCCTATAAATAAAATCTATTTACAATAGATATAAATATCAAATTATTTGCAGCACTCAGGTAATTTACTCTTTTTTTTTTAAGTGCTATGACGTCATAGCACTAATTTGCATATTCTTACTGGTGATTAATTAAAATGTTTATGTAAAATTTTCAAATGTATACACATCCAATATTATATTGTATTATAGAACTTGGATAATTTCCCATTAATTTTTATCTTCATTACAATAAGGTTATTTTTTTTTTAGTATGATCATGACGCTAATTGTCAAAAATTAATAAAACTGATTTTTATACAATAACAATCGTATTTTATAAAAAGAAATAATTTACACCTACTTACCTTAATAAATTAATTTTATTTACCAGATATAGAATCGTAATTCGATTATTAATGTTTTATAAAAAAAAAAAAACAATCATCGTACTTTTAAAAAGACAATAAGTACAAACTCACCTAACAAAATATTTTCGGATCACTTATAAAAAAACATAATTGTCACACACTGGCCATTACACTTTTTATACAGCCATAAACAATCACATTCACTTTTTAAATTTTTGAAAATGGAACCCGATTTCTTATGTTGGACAGACCGACGTGCGGCGAACGTCGACCGTGGCAAAAGACTGGTTGAACGCTGCAGTACTGAAATACCTATAGCTTATAGCGCAGGTTCGGATTACAGGGGTGCGTTTCATGTCTATACACAGTTTTATGGTGCAGTCAACCTGCATAATGTAGTTTAGATGTATTAATGAGAGAACCATAAAATTTATACGCTCACGCACACGTAAACGGAATAGTCGAATAGAACAAAATTTGGAATTCGTGTAATTATCTATTATTACGTACTTGTATATACATATATATATATGTACATATAACAAACTTTTAACCTGACGATATCTATAGAGGAAATATTTAATTAAAACCGACCTGATGGAAAGTGGTAACCGTCGCCTATAGACATGAGCAGTACCATGGACATAACAGAGTATACTGTTTCGCCCATGATACCCCCCATGCGTTGCCATTCCTAAGGACTCAGGTGTTATTCCTCTGTACCCTGTAAATTCACGCCATATCCCACCCTTCAAACCGAAACTCAGCCATGCAAACACAATTGCTTCACGGTAGAAACACGGATGGGACAGAGGTACCAAACCTTAAGTTGTATTAAAAAAAAATACCTAATTTCAGCAGTGGACAGCGAACAGTTGATGTGAAAACCACTTGTTAACAACTAGACCGACATTTTATTACTATTTCCAGCAATACTTATAAAAAAATCTATTCAATTTAATATTGGACAAGATTCTTGTCGCTGAAATTAGTTCGTTGACTTCTTCCAATATCATGGGAATTGGTATTATTACATTTTTCGCCACGACAAGAGATGGTCATACCAAATTTTTCTATCTATAAATGAAATTACAATGAAATCCAACGTTACAACGTGATTGCTACAAACCTTCAGCGAATTAGTCTGAACGGCCGAAAGTTTATAACAAATATATATAGGGGTTTACCCGTGAAAATAAAACATTAGTTCAATCTTAGATTAATTGATTAATGAGAGAAGTGTCTTTGTGCAAAATAATTTGAGTAATACATCATCTACCCGACTGCCGAATAGAAAAGGGTACTGTTTTCAATATAAAGTTTACAAGTAAATTTAAGAATTCTACCGATATTATAAATTTGAAATTTTATAAATATGTCAGTTTACTTGCACTCAAATACTTGAATGAATTTATATAAAATTGATATATCCGTGCATCTTCCACAGTATCCCACTTAAAACATTGTCAAAAGCCTAACTGTGGTTGCCAACCCGCATGCTAAGCATGGCAACTACTATCAAAACTTCCCAAAGGGAGACCTATGTTTAGTATTGGACAGTTAACAGTTTATATAATAATATATAATATTCTTGGCTGTGTGGTCCCGGCACAGAACAGGCCAACCTTTCCTATCCCGTGGATGTCGTAAGAGCCAACTAAGGGAGGGCGAGATATGGACAGGAGCGTCCTTCTTAAAACATCTCTAAAACCTGACTGCGGTTGCCAATCCGCCTACCAAGCGTGACAACTACTGGCAAAACCCCCCAAGGGGGAGGCTTATGTTCAGCAGTGGACATTTAAAGGTTAATATGAAGATAATATAATATTTTAAATGTAGCATTCGATCGAAATGAACATAGATATCCGACCGGTGTATCGAAAAGGGCGATGACCTTTTTCCCGCCATCAATGTCCATAGAAACACATTTTTTTTATACATCTTAGAATGGCAAACAAGCTGACGGCCCACCTGATGGAAAGTGGTAACCGTCGCCTATAGACATGAGCAGTACTATGGACATGACAGAGTATACTGTTTGCCCATGATACCCCCCATGCGTTGCCATTCCTGAGGACTCAGGTGTTATTTCTCCGTACCCAGTAAATTCACGCCATATCCCACCCTTCAAACCGAAACACAGCCATGCAAACACAACTGCTTTACGGTTGAAACACGAATGGGACAGAGGTACCCAAGCAATAAACAAAAGTAATAAATGCAAGCAACATAATTAATCAATATTCAAATATCTTCTATACTTATAATAAATCTGTAGAGAGGTCAATTCTGTACATGAAATATATATCCAAAATAACTATCAGGCGGTGATTAGTGATCGATACTGATGCCAAAAATGCAATCAGTGAAATTTTTGTCTGTCTGTCTGTATGTTCGTTATAGAAACAAAAACTACTTGACGGATTTTAATGAAACTTGGTACAATTATTCTTCATACTCCTGGACAGGTTATACTTTATAGTATACTTTTCATCACGCCACGATCAATAGGAGCAGAGCAGTGAAGGGGAATGTGTCTGTTACATCAAAACCACTGAACCGTGAGGAAGGACATAGGCTACTTATTTTACGAAAAACGACAACAAATGGTAAATGGTAACAGGTAGTTAATAAATATTAGGAAATTTTAAGATCTTCCCTTAGCAATCACCAATATTTAGTAAATCAAATTCACTCATTAATTCATTCAATAGTAAAATAGATAAATCCATATATTTTGATGCACATTGCTTGTAGTAAATTTGTATTATTATTATTATTATATTCTTACTCCGTCCCCATACGGCACGGAAACACCTGTACACCGTGCGGGGGCCAATTTGGAAAAGTTCATTTCACAAATTGGCCCGATCGAGTATCGATCCCGGAACCCTGTTTACGCAAAGCGAAATATCCACTAATGAGCTACAGACGACATCAAATTGTATGTTTACACGTATAATGAATACTTCAAAACTGAAATATGGAAAACTAACTGTGTACCGTGACTTTGCACGGATTAAATTAGAAAAAAAATTTTACTTATTATTTATAATATTTAATATATAAGTATGTTACTGTAGGGTAATCTATTTATATAATAATTTAACTATGTAATTCTAACTTTACATGAATATGGTATATTCTTTAGCAATATAAAAGTTGTAAGCCTCTTAGTAGTAAATAGAAATTAAGCACAAGTTCACACAGTTCATTTGTTTTAGATATCATTCTATTAAATCATATATTTACTTATTTTACTTTGCGTTTGATATATAATAAATAATATAACATAAATACCCAACTTCTCTTATCTCTTTATCTTCAATCCATTGATACTTATTTAACTATAGCTTCTTTAGGACTTCCATCAACAATTATTGTGATATATTTTATATAATGACCACGCGGTTTACTATACTTGTTCACTCTTGATTCGTCAGGGAGCTCCGCTCTGTTCAACGGTTGGATAAGAAGTGTCTGTCACCCGAATAACAATCTTTTATATCTACAGGGCCGAATTCGAGTGAACAAGTCAGCGAGACCATGTGTTTTTACAATTTCATTACTTTTTATTTAAATATCATGATAATTCATAAATATAAAATCAATTAAAATATAAATTAGTGTTTTATATATATTACAAGAATAATTCATTACAAAATTTGGTATAACAACAATTTTAATATTTTATTATATTTAAAGTAATTAGTTTGATTTTTATTAATAAATGTAGGTACACATTTTAAGACAAGATGTTTAAGAAAATTAATATAATTTAAAATAAATATCTAACACACGCGTGAATCGTTATATATTTATTTATTTATTCTTTATTGCACCATTTAAAGAATAATGCTATATATACATATATATAGCCGTGTGGTCCCTGTATAGAATAGGCCACTCCTTCCTTTCCCATGGGTGTCGTAAGAGGCGACTAAGGGAGGACGAGGGATGAGCAGCAGCGTCCCTCTTAAAACATCTCTAAAGCCTAACTGCGGTTGTTAAACCGCCCAAGCATGGTTGCCATACTGGCAAAACCCCCTCTAGGGGGAGGCTTTTGTTCAGCAGTGGACAATAAAAGGCTGATATCACATAAACACACGCACACGCACACGCACACGAAAACAACACGCACACGCACACGCACACGCACACGCACACGCACACGCACACGCACACGCACACGAACACGCACACACACACTATATAGATATTGTAACTTAAATATATAAATATATATGTTATATATTACTCATCTCTAGTAACACCCACGTTTCGCCGAACATTTACAGTATCAGAAATGACCGGTGTAAAGCCTACCGCACTAATTTGGTTTGTTATTAAAACTTCCCATCAATAGAAAGTTAATTTCAAATATTCGAACTCGGGACTTGCGCGAACTAAAACCCAAAATAATTAATATGCCTAGAACGTGACGTTCTGTATCATATTTATATATACCTATATGAAGAAGATTTAAAACAATTTAAGAGCCTAACACATGAAATATGTAAATGAACTGAACAAAACCTGTATAAATAGATTCATTCTCAGATTGTGTGTACAGAGATATAATTCAGCGTATATTTTGTCTTCCTTTCTTTGTTATAACGTTGATATACGATTTACATAATTATGTGAGGAGCCCATTTGAAATCATACAAAAACATTGTGCGCAAAATATTCATTCAACGATGTAAATACTTTTTTTAAGCCTACTCTGTACTTAGAGTACTTATCTACTGAGTTTTTATTCATCTTTTTTTGGTTATGTTAATCTCTTTATGAAGAAGTAAAGAGACTAAGCTCGAGATATATGATTTTAAAAATTCATTTGAATTTTGAATAGTTGATTCTTACTTTGCATTTATTTTTAATCTATAAATGGTGACGTAAATAAAGTTATGAAAGGAGTAAAATTCCAGACAAATTATCATACTGAAGACTAGGCAGCATGGTCTCCGACCTTAGCCTGTTCCATAACGGAACAAACGTACTAAAAAAAAATTATGAAAGGAATTGAAAAAGCGCGGGAACTCTTCGTCTAACCTAGAAGAGATCTAGCATAAAAATGTTCCAATAAACATGGTCATTAAAGAATAAATAAATGAGTAGGTATATATTATCAATAGGAATGACAGTGAAACTTTAATTGTAGTATTTGCCACCGCATTGACCTCTATTGTTACAAGTGCCTTCATTGATTTGTCCTTAGAAACTTCGTAAATTAATAATACGTAGAGCACTAGTATATATAATTATT